AAAGTAAAAGCTAATTTTGGGTTAGTTTTTAACATTAATAATTGTTCTGAAATGTTCTAATTTCAGTTATACGGAGCAAGTCCTGGGTAACTTAATTGAGACCTTCTTACGACCATTTTGCATTGTGCTGTTTGAATTCCTTTCTAGAAACTTCATTCCGCCGTTTGGTTGAACGAAAAAATAGCACTCGCCATGTATAATGATTGGTCGATTTTTATACCTGATTGTCCCTTTTTCACGGTATATTCGCCGGTAGATCAGGCGAGTTTGGTCGGGTCTTTTTCGTATTTTTACCGATGCAGTCGGGCGAAAATACCCACGGCAAGACCAAATAAGCCTTAGCGTACCCAAAGAGGTACGGTTAAGTATTAACTCTATATTCAGACTCAGCCATATAAGGTTTACATGACTTGATATCGCAGAATATCAGGACGGCATACACGGCTTCTGATTGGCTCAATTTTGTCGTGTGTGTTTTTTACTCGATCGACCAGGTGTCTCTGTCCTTAGGAGAAAATCGGAATTAAAGTCGACCTCATCCGAACAGATCGGTCACCATTTTTTTGTTTAATTATTGAATTATTAGTTGCCATTTGTTTTAATACTTTTTTTCCAGGCCGTTAGTTTTACGCGGTTTTAAGTATTACAGCCCGACTTTTTCAAGATTCAAAACGTTATATAATCATTCCACTGATTGCAGTATCACAATCTGACCTTTTTACGGAATATTTAAATATCGATATTAAGCTGCATGTAGCCGTTTCTTATATTAGCAAGTTACCCTGTGAGGCATTTAAGATTACAGCTTTGTGTTGAATAAACTGCTGTTTTTTTTTTATAAATCTGTTGATCTTCCATTGCTCTGGCTTCAATCGTTGTTCATTAGTTGTTTATTTAACAGTTAGACTTGGAGCTCAAAATGTCCTCTTTTATTATATAACTAGGGAATTTAATCCATTGTGACTGGCTGAGAGCCGGCCAATTTATTGTTAATTTTTTATTTGCACTGCAGCAAATTAACGCTCGCGTTGGTAATTTTCTCAGTCACATAATAAATGAGTAATCGTATGAACGCTCAAGCGATTAAGGATTTACACAACTCGTGATATTTGAAAATTTTTTCAAATTGCACTCGCCATAAGGCTCGTGCAATTTTGAGAGAACTTTCAAACATCACTCGTGATGTAAACCATAATTGCACTCATACTCACAGGATCAGACCAATACAAACATTGGTGTTTCTGTCAATGATCTCTGTGATGATAGTTGCCTTCAGAAATGTTGTTTTCTTAAAGGGAAATATTTGCCGGAGAGCGAAGAAAACATAAGCTCACGTCTTGTGAAATAATCAATAGAATTTACAAATACGACCGATGGACCGACTGACTGAGCGGGAACATTTTTTCACCAAACGCTTCAACTCGTTGAAAACTTGGCATTAACAGGGTAAAAAGTAATGTCGCTGGACAATAGTCATTTACTTTGAGGTGAAAGGAAAAATCAATATCGGCTGTTAATTGGACCACTTTTAACGTTAAGTGCAACACGAGGTATGCATTATTATTATATGCCAAACTGATCCAAGATAAAGAGAAGAATTCTGATTGGTCCTGAGCGGGCCAAATTTTGGAATACACACACGCGCTAAAATGGAGCGCACACAGATAAGTTTTGTCGAATTGCTTTTTCAAAACATTGATCAAAAGAAAACAGTCTGTTGTTAAAAAGCAGGGCCTCTACTGATAACAGTTTAGAGCTGACATACTTGGCCGATATATGGCCTGAAAAACGTAAAAACAGAAATTCGTAACTTAGTCCCTTTACTGAGAATTGAGCATATTAAATTATCAGCATATAACAGCAAGGAACATGAAACTGACAGCGGCAGTGCTTTGAAATCATCAAAACCAATTAATTCATGTTTTCTCCAACGAAAAAAAAGGTTGCTAATCTCTGCACATGTAGCCCTTGCTGTTGCGAACTGCTTTGCGTAGATAATGACGGAAAGTCATAATGAACCTTGTAAATTTTTGTAACAAAGTAAACTAATTAAAGCCTCAGTATAGATACATTATCAAATTATAAAATCAATGTCAATCAATGCCTCACAATCAATACAGCAAAAACCATGAGGACGAGGTGGAACTGCGCTGTAAGTGAAAAAGTTCAAATTAATGGAAAGAACTGGAAGAGGTATTGAAATTTGTTCACCTAGGAGCAACATGCAGTGACCCAGAAAAGAGGTTCAGAAGAAGACATCAGAAGCCGACTAGGAAAAGGCAGAGCAGCATTCAGTAAGCTTAGAAAGATATAGAAGAGTAACCAACTGATACTGAACTCTAAGCTGAGGAACTAAGTCAAACGTTATAGGTGTTCTACTATATGGGTGTGAAACATGGCGTATGATTAAGTAGATCTACTGGCCTGTGAAAATATTCAATGAAGGGAATGAATGCCAACCAACATCCTAAGACACCATTAACCTTGGCTCCGGTGGGAAAGGAAAGACATGATGAACCAAGAGAGACTTGCTGCAGGACTGCAGAGAAAGAAAGAACAGCGTGGGTTTTACGTGGTGAAGCGAGGCACCAGTGAATGCACGTGACCTAGTGGCATGGAGTAGAAGAATTCTGGTCCATTACTCCCCCATCCCCAGCCCCACAACCCCCGGGATCCTGCATAAAAATCAAGAAGTCAAGTCAAGTCAAGTCAAGTCAAATGATTAAAACGTTTTAAATAATAAACGGTTAAGTGCACCTAAATATCGTTATCTAAATATATCCTAAACAGGTCTGCCATTTTACATAAAAACGCGGATGGTTAACTCGT